TCTCTCTCTCTCTCTCTCTCTCTCTCTCCCCGCCTTTAAATAATAGTAATGGCTCTTACTCCTAAACTATATTTTTGTTTGTTTTCAGAGTAATGAGTGAGTTGATGTCTATGGAAATTACCGATATCCTTGCTAAGAAAAAAAAATGCTTCATGGATGGAAGTTATCATTATTCTAGTAGTATTGGTTTATATTTTAAGAATAAGGAAGCTATCTCTTTATCTTTGTTCAAGCAGTGTGCTCTTCTCAAGGGAGCTATTTTTAACACATTGTATCTCTTACTCAATGGGGTAGCAAGCAATGTTTTCTCATATGCTTGTCTCACATCCTCCATTTAGCTACTGATAACTAGAGACTGCCCTGTTTGTTCATTTAGTTAGTAAGTTAGTAATTTTTGTACCCGTTTTTATTATCCAACCTTTTTTTCTTTTTAAATCTGTCCAGCTTCCTTCTCTTTTGGGAACTGTTTCTTAACAGTTGAGGCTGTCAACCACATACCCTTGCCTATCCCACTGAGAGTGAGCCTATGACTCAGTCTGGTCAATAACAGCATTGCATTCCCCCTCAAACACAGCGATCAGTCCAAGGATGAGCATGCAATCAAAGCAGAGCCAATGTTTTTCAAGGATTATTATGGATGATCAGACGTAGGGATTTTTTTACTCATTTGAAGTCATGAACAACAAAAACTATATAAGTCTGGTGCCGTCAGGACTCATCTTCTCCAAAGTAGACACAGTCAGCCTACAAATTAAAGCAAAAAAAAAAAAAAGCAAAATTAATAGATGAAACTGGTTCTATGCTAGAAGCTACCAACCCTTTGACTTTTAGGTTAAATAATCCAATAAATTAACTTTTTTCTAGCTTCAGCTAGCTTAAATTGGGTTTCTATCACTTCCAGCCATGAGTTCTGATTAATTAAATTCATCCCTGCATATGGATTCATGGTTCTGGAAACAATTTTAACCATCCATCTGATATACCATCTCACTACCCTCCTTCCAAACTCCCTGGCACATTCATTCAGTGTGGTGTGGTTGTTAGGAGCAAAGTCTTTGAACACAGACAGAATTGGGTTTTAATATCAGCTTTTCCATGTACAAGTTATGTGTCTTTGAGCAAATCAATAATTTCTTCCAACCTGTTTTTTTTTCCCCCTATAAAATAGGGATATTTTAGCATGCATCCCCCAGATTTTTTGAGGTAATTCATGTAAAGCACTCAACTCAGCCCTTAGAGGATTTTAGGGTCTAATTAAATGATTATTCAGTCAGTTATTTTAACACCTCTTCTACAGGCTATCCCGGACACCAAAAATGTGAAGGATCTTGAGCAATATGTTCAAGGATACTTCTCTTTTTTATTCCTCAAGTCATACCAGAGTTAACTTTACAGAGGACAATATTTTCCTCTTAAGAAATTTCATGATATTCTCTCTTTGACATCATAGTACATATATCCCAGCTGTATGCAGGTCAGAGCCATATCTTCATGCTATGATTGCTCCTCAAAGTTGGGGTTGTCATTGACCCATCTAGGGAATTGGGTTGAACCAAAATTCATTCTAAAAATTCTTCCTTCACTCCTCTGGCAACTGCAGACACAATCAGATGAAAGAATGCAGAGCAGCAGGCTTACCTTGTAGAGTCTGTTCTATGAAAAGAAACAGAGACATCTCCTCAAATTAGTACTCAGCCCTGAGGAAAGACTCAATCCTTCATCCTTTCTCCACATTTTGGTAATCTGTTTTTATCTCACTGATTTCAAACAGTTATGTAAATTCTTCTCAAGGTTAGTTGAGAACTTGAGTTTAGATGTAATAAAAAAGAATTAAAAGTTCTAAAGTTCACCTTCTCAATCGTGTTTGACTTCTGGATTGGTTGTTGCTGGTTAGTTTTATGTGTCAAAAGTTGATTTTCTAATTTTTATATAATACAGAGTGTTTTGAGCTAACCTGTGGTGCAAAAGAGGTGACAGCCTTAGTGATAAGGCCAGGGTGAACACTGTGTGAATACTTCCCTTGCTCCTTGCTCTGCCTGTAACTCAGAACTTTTCTCAGAAATAGGGAAGAAAGTGAGGCCTAACTTCTGTCTTCTTAACAGCATTACAGCATATTAGGAGAGGAAAGTTTCTTTGTGAAATAAAATTTGACTGCAATTGCTTCTGTCTTCTAGGAAGTGGCCAGCAGTGGTTGAGCTGTCCTTGATCTTCTTCATTTCTGTTTTCATAGCTACCCCCAAATAAATATACAATATGTTCTGATTATTCTCTTTCACCCACCCCCACCCTCACCTGTTCTGGGCCAGGGGTGGGGAATCCCTGCAGACTACTTCACCAGGGCTCCCCTGCCCTCTGACATCTGGTTGAGTTTGGCCATGGGGAGCACCTGCAAGAACCTGGAAGGCAAGAGAAATGAGAGATCAGGGTACTTCTTCTTCTTCTCCCTCCTTGCTTTGGTGCCCGTAACACCTAAAATAACAGCTCTTACAGGTGCTTCCACAGCTCCAGCTGTCACCAGGCTCAAAGACACTATTTCTCTCCCTCCCTCCTTCAGGCTTAGGAGTGCAATGGCTTCCCACTGTCACTGGTCCCTAGGTGCCCCAGTGTTGTTCCTTGTTGGTTTCTCTAACCTGTCCACACTTCTGAAAACAGTCCCGTAATTAAATTCTCTTCAGTTAAATCTCTTTGAGTGGAATATTGATTTCTGTCAGGACTTTGGCTGATGTACAGGTAAGTTAAAAATTGTTTGTTTGCTATGCAAACACAATTTCAAGGCAAGTTTTCTCAATTCCCTTTCAGTTAGATTAAATTTACAAAGCCCCTTCTACATAGAATTTCTGGACCTATCATGAGGAATTCATAATTCAGTCCTGGGGTAATGGCTCTTTTCAGGAAAATATCACAATGAGACCGTTATCTTGGTTAAAAAAGGCCCCCTTGTCATTGCCTGAGAGAGAAGGAGGGAGGGAGAGAAAGGGAGAGAGAGAAAAGTAAGAACACATTTGTATTTCTGGGAGAAACCTTGAAAGAGGAGTGAGTAAATGAGTAAAGGGCCTGAGAAACTGGGAAAGGGAAAGCAATGAGGGTCATAGAAGAGAGAAACCTCAAAATATGGCTCAAGACAAGCAGTGAGAAATTCTCAGTAGCAGGAAATGGCCCATAAATGCCAGTAATAGTGGTGTCTGAAATTTTTTCAGGGTATTTTGTGTTCTCTGTTGAAATTACTGTTATTGTGTACCTTTCACTCCATCTTCTCTCACCACGCCATCCCTCCCTCAAAACAGCAAATCAAAGTCTGCTACAGGTAACAGCTTTGTGAAAATAGTGCTCTCAGGAGCATGAAAGAGGAGAGGCAGAGTTCCCAGGTGGAGCTCTGCGAGAAAAGGGCAGCTCTGTTCACACTGAGATGGATGTTAGGAGGAAGTGAAAGTGGAGACGCGGGCAGCTAGGAACCCTAAGAATTGTGAATCCTTGAAAAATCCTCAAAGATATTGGGGAGCAAAGACAGGACTTCATTCATTTTGAGGGCTATAAAATGACATAGCCCCAGAAGGTTGGAGAGCTTCATGATATCTTGGCTGCAGAAGTTGGATTGCATTTGAATACTATTATTTAATTAATACCGAAGCCCATTATAATGGACTTTCATTGTTAAACTCAGAAGGCAGGAATATGATCATGTGATACTTATATGAACCAGTTAGAACAAACAAGAGCAAAAACATTAACTATCTATGAAAGTATGTTTCTGAGTTTGAAATTAAAAAAAAAAAAATTCAAAGTAGCAAATTAACACGTTGGTGTTTACACTGACAAATGGGAAATTTTCTCTAAGTGATTAAAATGGTACCTGGCACAAAGTTATTGCTATATGTGTGTTTCAAATTAGAAACATGCATAAATAAATAACTTCTTAATAGATAAGGCCATACAATTACAGTAGGATGGACAGATGGATAGATAGATAGATAGATAGATAGATAGATAGATAGATAGATAGATGAATAGATAGATAGACAGACAGACAGACAGATGGATAGATGAGAGAGAGAGAGAAAGATGATAGATAGGCAGACAGGTAAATAGATGGGTGGGTAGATAGTTAGAAAGGTAGATAGATAGATTTACAATAAAATATTAAACAAATAATAGTTATTATTTCATCGTTATTGTTGTCATCTGGGTTTCATTGCCCAAAAAGTGGATTCCTTTTATTTTCCTGTACACAACTGTATCTTCTGATTCTCATAAAGGTCATGTAGCTACATATTCCAAGAAATTCAGATTTAAGTCAAGAACGTAAATGTAACTATGTTCACAGTCTATTGAAAGCACCACTGATGGACAAAATAACTCACTAACATTAACAGGAAAGCAACCACAATAAATGTTATTCTTTTGTACTATGTGCAGGACCACATTTCAAACACTTGAGATACATTTGATACGCAGAGGTACCTTCCTACTATTATCCCATTCCACAGAGGAGGAAATTGATGCAGAGATAAATTAATTAATTTGTTGGAGATTTCATAGCTAGTAAGTAGCAGGGTCAGAATTCAAACCAAGATAGTTCAATTCCAGAGCAGAAATTCTCAGTGAATAAGTTGCCCAATCTTAAAGCCAGAAACAACCAGCACATAAACATTCAACCTTGGTCCATCTCCCTAAATATTTTATTGTCATCTTTGCTGATGTAATTCTAAAACTGCATAAAATGTACTGATTCTTTATCACTGAATGTGGAAAGGAAATAATCTTATAGGGATTTATTCATTCTTTCAACAAGTATTTAGTGAGAACCTACTAAATGCCAGAAATTCTTCTAGGCATTGGGGCAACAGCTGTGAACAATGTGGACAGAAATTCATGCCTTCCTGGAGTATAGGTTTTAGTGAAGTGGATATAGGCAATAAACAAAATAAGTATATATATTGCGAAGAAAAATAAAGTGTAGAAAAAGGATGAATAGACAAGAAAATGGTTCATTTGTTTAGGATACCATGGAGCAAAGAAATGAAATCTTGAGTTCACCTTTCCCCTTTACTTCTATTCTCCTCTCCAATAAGACTATGCTTGAGTGGGAGCTGGATCACCACAGGAACCTGCTTACCATAATTTTAGAAATTCACTCTTCAACCAATGTTAAAGCCAGAAGAGTTGTATTAAGTGGCCACGGCTCTTCATTGCAACCCTTTTTAGGTTGCAGGGCCTTCTATGCAATGCCAGGGCGCATTCACATGTCTGTCATTCTTGAAAGAGCCTTCTAAGCCAGCGTATCTCCTTCCTAAATCAGCTCTCCATTAAAATGAGTGGAGATCTGAACTTCACCAAATGCCTTGGGCACTTTGGTGTGCTCACACACAGCACGTTTGGCTTCTGAAGAGATGCATTGGGTTCTCTGCGGCTTGATCTCAAACATATCTGAAGTTAAGACACTGAATAGTGGCATTTCCTCTTCTCCATTTTGTATGTATGTGTGTTTGTGCTAAAAAAAAAAAAAAAAAGGCAACATTGTCACAGAACCTACAGAGACGATCATTATAAAGAAATAAAATCATGGCATGAAATCACACTGATCAAATATTTGCTTTTCCATGGATTCTCATAAATGAATGATATAGCCTAAACACTCTAGAATAACAGTCCTCAAAACAGGATAAATGAAATGTGAGCAAAATCTCCAGCATGAAAAAAATACACTTTAATTCACCAAAGGGTTTATCTTCACTCTAAAAAATCTTCAGAAATCCTTAGTTACCAGTTTTCTCTCTGCTTCTTGAGGAAGGCCATTTCCTCATTTATAAAATAATGATGACATACTTGTCTGGTTCTGAATATTTCAGAAAAAAAGCTAGAAATCCACTGTATCAGTTGATGCTATGACTGTGGAGCATTTTTACACACCAGTTCCCATAGTCAGTGTTTGATTTCAGTCTGTTCAAACACGAAACCAACGTGAGCAATGTTAACAAAGAAATGCATTCTCCAGGAACACGCTCTCCATCCAGATTGCTCTCTTCTTTCCTCTGCAACTATTTCTTCCTCACCCAAATCTAGGTAGCAATTATCATTATTCTACTGTCACTCTTCCCTTCTCTCTTCCATGATTTATTTCTGGATTCTCAGTTGTTTTCAAACTGTAAAGAAAATAGGGATCACCATGGAGCTCATTAGAGACAAATACTCTTGAATCCCCCGTCCCATTCTAAAGATTTTTTTAGAAATTTTTTTTTTCTTTCCCCAGCTTTATTGAGATAATTGACATATAACATTGTGTAAGCTTAAGGTATACAATGTGATGATTTGATATATGTGTATATTATGAAATGATTACCACAATAAGATAGTTAACATATCTATCACCTCACAATTCTTTCGTGTGTGTAGCAACTCTCATAGCAACTTTCGAGTATACAATACAGTGTTGTTAACCAAAGTCATCCTGCTGTGTGTCAGATTCTGTCCCAAAGATTTCAGTTTAGTAGGATAGGATCAAGGCCCAAGTATCTGCATTTTAAATAAGCATTCCAAGTGATTCTGTTATAAGGAAGTTTGAGGACCACATTTAAAAAACAGTGCTAGTGGCAGCAAAATAATTTCTCAAGAAAGGATCTATATAAAATTTTAGATTTTGGATATGTTCACTGTAGAATGAAGATTAAATTTAAGAATTACAGAAATGTAGCATTATGGAATATTCAGACTAGGAAAGAAGATCATTCTGGTCTAACGCTTTTATTTCACAGATGAGGAAATATAGGCTTGGAGAAACTAGGTGGCATGGTCAAGGGTTTGTAACACGTTTGCAGCAGAATCAGGGTTAGAAATAAGGTCTCAACTCTTTCTACCAATTTACATTCTAAAATGAAGTAAAATTAAGAAGATTAATTAGAAAAGTTCTTTTGGACTTTTTAACCTTTTCTAGAGCCCGATACTGTTTTTCAAAATATAGCTCCAGCTATTTAAGTATTTTGGAAGGGTAACAAAGGAGTTCATTTCCACAAAAGCAGAAAAGAGCACAGAAAAATACAGCTGGCAGAAGATAAGCTTTTCTCTGTGAAGGGATTCTAAACAATGATTTTATGTTTTAAATACCTGTAATTAGACCCCTCTATATAACCACTCCAGTCTCCTTTTGGCTTTTCCACATACAGTCTTTTTTTCTGCACAGCAAGGTCAAATTAGGTCTTGTTGCATACATGATGAGCAAGGTGAATGTACCATGAACATTAACACAGTGGTTGTTATTATTTTCAAGGACTAGGTATTAAGTACTTACTAAACAAACATGAAAAACAGTCCCTTGACACTCTCATGTCAAACTCTTCTCCATTTTTACAAGATAAAAATCTATTTCGAAGTTATACTGCTAACAGTTTTATAGGAAAAGTACAGTTTTTAAACATGGCCAGTGATTTACATGTAGAAAAACTACAAACATAAGTAACATATAAAATTATTATATAAATTATACTGGCCTGATTGCATGGAATATCCATCACCGCAGACATTTTCTTCTTCAAAGAGAATCAGAAAGTAAACTACACATTCAGAACTTGAAATCTGACATTTTTAAACGAACAAGTTCTCTCCACAAAAGAGATAGTGAACATATTGCAATAGAAAGACCACTGGTATTGGAACCAGGTAACAGAAGACCTGGCTTGGCTGCTACAAGTTTTAACTTCAGTTTGCTTATGTGCAAAATGAGGATATTTCAACCTAGATGACAGATTGTCATGAAGCTTCTATGCACTTATAGTTGTAAAATGACTAAATAAGTATTATTATTTAGTGATTGATATGTTTTTTTATAGTGTAAATAGTATGAAGAATATTATGACATATGGTTTAGGGAGGAAATGGTGACAGTATTCACCATTAAATAATACTTATTTCCAGTAGAAGAGCGACACAGTCTTTTGCCAGCCCAAAATTATATGCAGCATTTTAGTAATGTGATTCAATGTGCTTCCCCAGGGTTTTGGAACCAGTTTGTAGGTGCTGACTTTCTCCAACCCCCAAATCTCCATTCCAGGCAAGAATTAAGCCAAGTAGAAAGAGGAGAGAGGCATGCTGCAAAGAAGAGGAACATGAGTAGAGAAAAATGATAGTGACACTCTCCCTGCTAGTTCATCAATTCCTTGTACACAAGTTCAAACTTAAGATGGTCTCTAACTGGACCACCTATTTGCCTCTGTAACCTGTCAAATCTAATTTACTGAGTGAGAAAAAACAATAGCGGTGGTCAGAGTACCACTTAGCCATAACCATAGTTTGGAGCTAGAAGAGATGTCTTTTTAGGAAGCTTCTTAGGTGATTCTGATACCTCACCAGGTTTGAAAATTAAAGCTATAGATAACTTAATTCAGCAGTTCTCAATCTCTATTAGAATCAACATAGGAATTAAAAAAAAATGAACCAGATATTTTATTGAGTTGGGCATCAGAATTTTTGTGAAGTTCCCTAAGGTATTTCTAAATGTGCAGCAGGGTTAAGAACAATTGATCTGATTTAATTCCTTATTCAGAGAGGTAACTGAATGCCTCTTCTCTTGAAGAGACTAAATAATTAAATCTCTCTAGGCACATAAAAATATAAATACTCAATTTAATTAAAAAAACTCTTTATTGAGTGCCTACATGTATCTGGCAAAAATCCTGGTCCAAACAGCCTTATCAACTCACAACAGGATGAAAACAATTCAAAATTACACAAGGCAAAATAAGATAAATGCTACAGGGCAGGAAAAACAAGGTGTTTTGGTATTTCAAAGAGCTGAGAAATAACTTGAGGTCTTTATCAGCAATATGGCAGATGATTCCTAAAATAAGAGGGTGTGGACTTCTGAAAGTTCATGAGTTCTGTATCTGTGGAGCTGTAGATAACAATACGATATAAATACTATGATTCGATCTCATGCTTTGAAAGTTACTCTGCTCATCATGGACACTAGAACTAGAAAAATGCCATGAAAGGAATATTGCTATAAATAAAAGTAATCTTTGATTTATCTTAATATAGTGTTTAAGTTACAGAATTGCACTATTTCTAAAGACTTGAAAAATTACTTGAGAATGACTATGAATTATGGCTATGGAATATGTGGTTGTTTCAAGGTATCTTTTTAAATTTTTTTTTAACTTCTAAAATATATTCTGATATGTCACTACTCCAATTTCAGGGATACAAATGTAATGCAGGATCTCATCACTTATCACCTTAATCATCTCAAAGTCTTCTTTCTGATTTTCTTTAATCTCTTATCTCATCTAATTCATTCTACATGTTTTTGTGAAATTAGTAATGCTAAAACACTACTGTAGAATGCTTTAAATGTAAAGTGAAGCTTCATTTACACAATTTTATCCACTTATATTTTTCTCCTTTCAAGGCTTAATGATTGTTTATCAAAGTAATATATGTAAATAATTTAAAAAATCACAAAATATTACAAGGCTTATAATGAAACAAAACTTTCTACTACTTTATTCCTTCACATTCCCAATTTACGCTCCTAGAAGAAATCACTCGCAACTATTTTACTGGTTTATACTGGTATTACTTGGAATGATACGCTTATACTATTACTTGTAGATTTTTCAATATTTGACATTGCTTATTGATTTTCTACTCTAAAGGATGGAGATTTATCCCAATTATTCACTCCCTGCCTCCTTCCTACAAATAATTAGGGATATACCAGTAGATAAGACAAAGTTCCCATACTTACAAATTTACACTGATGTGAAAAGGTAATAAATAGACAAGTAGCTAAATAATTGAATAATTTCAGAAAGTGACCAATGATGTGAAAAAAAACACAAAGAAGTACAAGAGAAAGGAATACATGTCCCTTCCTCCATTCACCCAATATTATTATAATAAAATTTTTGATGTTTTCATTGCTGTAGCTAGATAAATATTACTAAACACTGAGGCATAACTTGTACCATGATCACCTTTTATTTACTGTAAACTTTATTTTCTCTGAATCTGAAATTGCTTTGTTTTTGCATTTGTTTAGTCTTCCATGTACTGAAAACTAATTCATTCCTTTACAGGACTATAAAACTTCTCTCTGTAGTATGATCAAATGCTACAACTAACCTCTGTTTTTCTTCCTCTTCCTCCTCTTCTTCCTCTTTCATCATTCCTCACAGAGACCTCTGACTTCTGGCTTCAGCCTTGTCTGGTGGCTTTTCAGGCCTGAAGCACAGCTGTCACCCTAGGGCCTCCCTTTATCGTCTTCCTACGATTTCCCACTGACTCTCTCCTTGGTGGAACTCCTTTCCTGTGTACATCTTCCTCTTTCTAGATTTAGTCCTCTAGTAGCTTCTTGAGGAAAAGTGAATAGAAAGGAAAGTTTTACAAATTTGCATGATGAAAAATGTTTTTATTCTACTCTCACTCTTGATGGAGAGCCTATATGTAGAATTCTAGGTGGAAAATTATTTTCCCTCAGAAATTTGGAGGCATTGCTCC